AAAAATGATATTATATTAACATACTGTTTAGAAATATCGCGTTTTTAAAGCATCAATTAACTTATTTTGCTTTCCAATTAAAATATAAAATGAGATAAGTAAGTTAAAATTATTTCATTAAATATCGGCTAAATATTTTTTCGTAAGGGTTGGACAATAATAAGCAATATCATTAGTTATAAAGTATATTAATACAATACATTGTACCTACATTCGTACATTTGACACTTATTAAAATTGCACCAAATACCATAATGCTAGAAGTGCCAATTGCCACAATTAATTAATCATCATTGGCATCGATAATAACATGGCGATTTTTTACATATCTGCTAAACAAATCACATTTTCTCTATTAATTTTGCTTTATATTTCTTGAAATAAAAAAAACTCTTATTTTTTTATTTTTTACTTTGCTAATTACCAAAATTTATAAAGAATTAAACTAAGATTTTTTTTTCAATGGTGGGCACTTGGGGTTAGTCCCATTGGCCACAGAAATGCCAGAATTGCTACTCTCTTCTCTCTTCTCGGTGGCACTCTCGTCTCTTCTCAGTGGGCACCTGTGGCGAAGCCACGACGGTGGAGCAGCGTCGCCCACGTCACACAACCACAAACCCGTTTACATTATACTAATATAATGCTTAATAAATTTTATTACAGCTTTGCGTTTTCTAACGCTCCTCAAAAAAGGATTAGAACCATTTTTCCATTTCTATTGCTTTCAACATAGCTTATTTATAGATTTGAGTAATAATCGTTTACAAATTAATACTACTTATACTAATTTGGTGACGTTATCTGCAATGCTATCATGTCGATCCTGACAATTGAGTTTTCTGACGTAACAAATAAAAAATAATTAAATATTGAAGAACTTGCAAAAAAACTCCTTTTTCTCTTCATGAGAACTGTTGCTATAGCTGATGTAATTTTTAAAATTCAATTGAATTTAAATTCATTATTTAAAAATTAAATTTAAAATTTTATATTTTAAATCCATAATTTAAATNGATGTTTCTGTGAAGGTGTTTATTTAAATTTAAATTTAAATTTAAATTTAAATTTAAATTTAAATTTAAATTTAAAATTTAAAATTTAAAATTTAAAATTTACATTTAAAATTTAAATTTAAATTTAAAATTTAAATTTAAAATTTAAATTTAAGTCATGTTTACACAAGTTAAACACAAGTCATGTTCTTACTGATGTTGCTTGAATTCTTTTTTTAATGCTCCCATTTGATTGCAATTTTAGAATGACGAGGGAAGGACTATCTTTGCTGCTTGTTTGAATATGCAATCAAATACTATTTAAAACTGTCCTTTAATTTTATTCCATTTAAGGGCAATCTTTCAAATGTTACTTGTTAAAATACCCAATCAAGTTATATTTAAAACTATGTCTGCTTTCTTTTTAAAGTTTAATTCATTTGTATGCCATTATCCAGATGAAGCAAAAATATCTATGTTGCCATTTGGATTCTACTTTTCAAATGAAGAGAAATTTAAGATTAATGATGCTTGATAAAATATGGAATCAAATGTTATTTTGAACTATCCTTTTTTGAAAATCATTTCATTTGGTCGCACAGCTTTTAATTGAGTGCTTGTTAAATTACTAACGTCATACTTGGAACTATGTATATTTGTTTTTTTGAAGTTTAATTTATTTGTATGTCATTATCCAGATGAAGCAATATTGCTGTTGCAAAAATATACACAAAGCAAAAATATAGATCTCACTTAAAGTTATTTAATTTTAAAAAATACTTCAAACTCCAGAAATATCTAGATGGAAATCTCCATACATTGTTCAGTGCTAAGTGTTAGCAACAGTAAGAAAGTCATTACAAGCAAATCAAAGAAAAGGGATTCGAATTCGAAGAAAGAAAGTTAACATTAAATATTATTCTATTGCTTCCTATTCTACTTACATTGGATTTCTCAATGTTTAGCAGTAGCAAACAGTTTATTGCGCAAAGCTCCTATGAAACCATATAAGTTTATGTTGACACTCATCTTACACTTCCATCCCCCAAAAATACTTGTACTTGAAATATCAGGCGAAACTAATTAGTTATAGGGTTTCTGCATAAATATCTATACTAGATAATTTATATAAATAACTTTAAAAAAAATTAAAATACATATTTTGCTTAATAAGTATCGAAATGTTAAAATGTCTCGAGAAATTCGCATAGGACTAAAAATCTGAATCTACGCGTTTTGAATATCTTCAAAAAATATATGCAAGGATCTCAAACTCTGGAACATTTACAATTGAAAAATTTTAATGTAAAATCATTTTTTATTGTAGATATGGGTTTTCCAGAAAAAAAGTACTTCAATTTTTTTTTTTTTTTTTTTTTTTTTTTTTTTTTTTTTTTTTTTTTTTTTTGCATTTCGGTCAACACATGTGATTCTGCAATTCTTAAATAAAAATAGGCTACAGATTGTTTAAAATGGAGATATTTTGAGAAATACATAGAAAAATAAAAAGTATATAGACTTGCATTTTAATAATAAAAAAAAAACATATGAAAACAGCAAGCTTGACCCCATCACCCAAACGTGGCATTACCCAAGCATCAAGGAGTGAGGCGTAATTGAATATGGTGTTATTAAATATGGATTAGTTTTTCAAAATAACAATTAACGGCCTTTTTATGTAATATTTTTTATCAGGTTTATATTTCTACAGATATTCTAATTTAAATACACCGCCCCCCTACTTTCCTTTTTCGATTAATTCACCACCTGTGAATTAAAATACAAAAATCTGTCGATCATGTACGAGAATATTTCAAATATTCAAATTTGCAATGAAAATCGCAATTCCCATTAAAACTTTGAAGAATCTTCCTCCCAGCATCAGGGTGGGGTGGGGTAAGTGTCGAGTTTGGTGTCATTGAATGCAATATTCGAATACATATCGCCCTTATATTTATAGAATTTCGATCCAAAGTTTTCCTGAGTTATTTTATTATTTTCTTGCCCCCAGTACTAAGAGTGTTTGGCTTCATTCTCAACTGATGTTTCACTGATGTTTGGCTTCATTCTCAAACTATGTTCATGTTGAGGAATTTTTTTTTTACTTAATTTGATAAAATTGTTTAAGGACGTTGCAGCAGTTTTATAAGATGAGTTTTTGAAGGCACTACACTATAAGAAAAAGTTGGTGCATACTTGCCACAATTTTTGGTGTTAATAAGGTGAACTAAATAAATTTTTAAGTTCAGAACTGTAGTTGTTTCTCGAAAAATTGTATGAAGTTTACAAAATAACAATCGTTTGAAGGAATTAGTGCAAATATTTTATTAAAAACGTGCTTGTTTTTCTTAACTAAATGAATTTTCAATTTCGCCATTGATTCTAATGCGCATGAAAATATGTTTTACCACTCAACAGACAAGCAAAAGATTAATAAATAAATAAATATAATGAATTGTTACTAAAGCATGTGACTACATTCACTTTAAAAAACTAAATTTATTTCAATTCTAAAATTTTTAGGCAAATATACACAACCATATTTACAGTATAAAGAATTGCATAAGGTAGACCATATCGACCAACCATGTTAGAGAATTTGCTTTTGTCTTGAAGGAGTCTTTCTAAAGATGTCTAAATCCCTTCCCTAAAATTGGATGAATTTTCCCCCCACTTTTTTGCATATTTCTTTTAAATTGCAACATAGAATTCTGAATCTTTTACAAAATGTATCAGCACAACTCCATTTTTTAATATATGAGATAAAACCTTGGGTGAGATGATTTCGTACCACAAATATTTCACCTTAAAGCTAAAATCTTATCCTAGTCCACACTAATCTCTTTTGTTCTCGAAGTTTACTTCCAAATTTTTTAAAATGCCGCCTAAATTTTGCTTTTCAATATCTTTTTCTTGAAGAAAAAATCAGACAGAAAAAGCGAAATTTATTATTATTTAATTTATTGTAAAAAGGGTCCCAAAATTTACGCAAAATTTGAAGTAGGGGAGAGTCGGGTAGCCCCGCCCAGCGGGTACCCCCGCCTACAGTCAATTTCATATGTATAGAATATTTTTTCAAGTCAATGGGCCATCGGACATTAATTGTTGTATTAAAGAAAGATTATTTTCAAAGTTTCAAGCATTTATGCAGCTGTTAACATGGTAAACAATAGTTTTGAAAATATGTTGAATACAGTAGTCATGAAATTAAGAAAAATTGGTTGAATGTTTCGATTAAACTTCATTTTAATACTAAAAAAATAATTTTTTCTATACATACAGCATTAAAGTATGTAGTCTTAAGTTTAATTTGCACAAAGAAAGAAGTTTATATGTGAAAAATTGTTCGAGTAATTACAAATTTACAAAAAAATTGGATTTCGGGTAGCCCCGCTCACATGAATGTCGGGTATCACCGCCCAATTTTATTTCGTCGATAAATGTACGGTTGCAAAGATTATTATTTTATTGCTTCAAATTTGAATGTTATATGCATTTTTAACAACAAATATTGTTGTTATTAAATGATTGTTATTAAATGATAGAATTCACTAAAAGTATATAAATATGTAATAAATAAAATAATTTTGTGATAAAAATGATAAATGAGGTTTATCTATTGTCAATACATTGGTCATTTTCATTTACACCTGAAAAAACAGTCAAAAAACATAATTTTTGTAACTGGGCGGGGCTACCCGACACATTTTGAAAAGAGCTGAAAAACATGTTTTTTTAAATTTCTATTTTTTTAAGTTAAACTATTCTTTTTTTGGTTTATTCTTTTTGCATTATTTAATTAGATGATAAAACAATAGAAACATACAAAAATATTGATTATTACTCAATATTATACAGAAATATAAGCAATACTCCTTAAGTGAGCGGGGCTACCCGACTCTCCCCTAAGTGGAAAACTAATTAACTTGGTGTTGACAACCAAAAAAAATAATAATACAGTTTAAGGTAGGTAAAAATGCAGTGCTACACAGAAAGAACAACACGATCTCATCGACGAACAATATTTTATTAGTAATGAAAGTTTGGCTCACAAATTGCATTCAAAATATGGTTAGAATTTCATCAAATGTGAAGCTGTTAAAGAGAAAAAGTCATGTAGACTGGATCAATTAGGGGAATTAAACACACTGGCCGCCTAATACACACGTTTCAATATGTATATTGGACAACATGTGGTCTCAACAAAATGGTGCTGTCCTAGGAACATATTTTTCAAGATGACAACAGCAAAGTTCATCGTGCTGGAAGAATAAGTGACTGGTTTTAAGAACACTCAATTACATATCTCGAGTGACCTACAAAATGACCGGATTGAAAATTTGTGGAACATTTTGGACCAACGGGTAAAACACCGAAATCAGCATTCTCACAATTTGGTGGATTTGCGTGATCAAATTCTCAGAGAATGGCTTAAACTGGATTCGATTTACCTGCAACCTTTACCTTGTGGACTCATTTCCTAACTGAATCAAGATGGTTATCAAGTTCAGAGGTGGTTTTAAGCTTCATTAAATTGTCTTTTTCATGATTTCTCTAAGGGTAACTAATTTTTTTTGTCTGCTGTTCCTATTATTACTTGTATTGTTATCACTAATTATATTAATATTGATTTTATTACTTTGTTATTCGGTAAATTATTCATTATGCTATTATTAGTAATTATATTATTGCTATTAATTATTTTGTTATTATTTATAAATTAGCATGAAAAACACTATCAGAATTGAGATCCTTTTTTACTTAATTTTTTATACATCTATTCAATTCTCGAGCATCAGGATGTTCTGCCTTTGTCGATCATACAGCCAGTTCTCATTTCCTCATACAACAGCACGTGATTCAGCCCTCGTCGGCCTTAAAAGAAACTAGTATGTATTCCTCGTCTGGGATATTTACAAGTTTTGTTTCTGCCGAACACTATACTAAAATTATAAAATACTAAACAACAACACGGCAAGTTTTAATCGTTTAATCACTAACTCAATTTGATATTGTATTGCAAAATAAACATTCTTTGCAACAAATCATTCTTTACAATCATAATTATTCGACATAAAACGACAAAGTGACTTACAGAAATTATCCTAAGTGTAATATCCTTGGTTGACACTGAAAATAAAGTAACTGACATGATATTAAAATTTACAGTTGTAAATGAGGCACGTTGAATTAGTAATCTGAATATTCATTTATTTTATTGATAATGATACGACTATTGATATCACTTTAGTATGTATCATGTTAATTTGAGTTAAAATTCTACTAAACATATAAACGTTAAATTAAGAATTTAATGATTTAAAATATTCTTGAATACATATTGATACATAAGTAATACAAAGGGGAAAGAATCTAGGATTCACTCACCAGGTGTGTCATCTCGAAAACCAGGTCACCTTTTCTCAGCTATGCAAACTTNCCTCGCCTGATATTCCATCATCTCACAACTTAAAATAGCACACTGAATAAATCCTTCTCCATAATGCACAAGGGGGAAAGAATCTAGAATCACCCACCAGGGCGTCATATCTTAATCTAGTCACCTTCCAACAGCTAGGTAACGCTTCGACTGATTCCTAAATGGGTGCAACCCCTACAGCAAGAGGGATCTTCGCCAAACTCACCCTTTGGCTCACTTTATCGATGTTTTTGGCACACTTACTATTTTGGGACTCCTTGCTCTGCATCAATAATAATACCACAGATATGTGAAACAGATGGCACATATCTGAGATGGTAAGTTCGAACTTCTATACAGACAGTAAAATGATTTTTTTTATTCAACACATGTTAAAAATTAGAGAATATTACTATTTGGAAATTTCTGATACGTTTTTATCTATTTGTTTTTCCTCTTTTGGTATTAAAACAGGGCATTAAGTCACACCCTTTAAAGATAACCTTGAGCTTGTTTTCAGCTTTTCATATGCCTCAATGTTATAAAAATAAATTAATAAAAACATGCTTTCATACCCTTAGCAATTTAAAGAAAATATTTCTTATTGATGAAATATTTCATAAAAGCACCAAGAAANCTTGTTTTCAGCTTTTCATATGCCTCAATGTTATAAAAATAAATTAATAAAAACATGCTTTCATACCCAATCATAGCATACCCTTCATAGCAATTTAAAGAAAATATTTCTTATTGATGAAATATTTCATAAAAGCACCAAGAAAATATTAACATTCAAAAATTTCCTTTCCTAACTTCAGTTCAAAAATAAATTTAGGTATTTAAGGTGTACTTATAATTTATTACAGTGTTTTTACTTATTTTTGTTATAAGTAGTGCTATAAATATCTTTTATTAACTTTATTTAAACAGTAAAAAAATAATTTGAAATGTTTCAATTCTATAATGAAACATTTCGAAAAAAATCAAGTAAGAGGTTTACAAAGGAAATAAAATGTAAAAGGGAATTTTATGCATGATTACTTTAAGCATCATTCTTAAAATAATGGCAAAAAAATATGAATGACAATTCTTCCTTTTTTCTATGGAAGATGTACAAGTTATTATTTTTTTTTAAAATATTTGAACTACTTTTTTACTTTATCTTCTAAAAGTAAATTTTAAGAACAAATAATCATCAAAATTCCCTCAAATTAAATACCATTTTGTATTTTAGAAATATATTGCATATTATAATTTTTTATACAGTAGATTGAAACATATTCTTCCTTTTTCTGTCGGCTTACAAATGTATTACATATATTTTTCTATTTTGTGTTAGTATAAGATATTTCTACCATGCATATTAATGTTCAATTTATAACCATATTATTTACACATTAAAAAAATCAAGTTCGAAGCATAAGAAAAAAATTAGAAGGATTTATGATAATTCTGCATATAGAAAAAAAATCAATTCTAAAAGAAGCATATACATTTGAGTGTGAATGTGGTCTGAATTTGTTGAATTGTTGTTAAAATAAATTCAAATTTGAAGTTCGTGAGAGAGATTTAAAATAATATTTAATTACTGATTCCCTTATTCTATATTTTGTTTTTATTTTCATAATGATACTATGAATATGTGCTGAAGTATGTTTAAATCGAAATAAAAACTACCATGCCCAGAAAGTAAAAAACACTACTTCAGACACGAAAAAACTATATTTGATAATGTTAAACAATTCAATGCTTTTCTTTTCTTTTTGGTAATTTTCCTATTTTATTTCAATAAAAATAATAATAATAAACTATAACACAGTAGAAGGCATTTTTACATGAAAATAAATCTTTCACATGCATTCATATCAAAATTCATAGATACTCGGAAATGAAAGGAGGAAAGAATATAACGAATATTCTATCAGTGAATCACTAAATCACTCTCATCATCTCATTTCGCCCCAAAAATGTCAATTACAGCCTGACGGACTCCGAAAAATTCCTAGAAGACGAAAAAGAAAATGGGGCATTTTTCTGAGTTAAGAAGATGAGGAAGAAAATTTGAATACTTCCTAACGTGAATCCCATATTCCTAACAGCCGCGGAATTTCACTCTATTATTTACTGCGCCAATTTTTGACTTGAACATCAAAGTATTGAGTTCCATTTCCGAAATATTTACTTTATTCTTGAAGATATTCACAGCGCATAGATTTATCTCCACATATCACAGACTATTTAATACTCGGGAGTTATAAATATGACACAAAACACAATTAATATTTCTGAAATATACTTGATATTTTCCCCACATTACAAAAAAACATTTTCAATTGTCCCGGTAACACTGTTAACTCCTTAAACCATCAGAATTCCAGACTGTCAGCAAACATAAGGAAAACATTTTTGATGATTTTTGCCTAATTTTAGCAAATCACTTAGCTTTAAGGAAAAGCATTTGAGAGGTTCCTCAATAACTTACAGGTACTTCAATTACATATTTTATATTTTATAACAGTCGTTAAACAGCCGACCCGATTTTTCAGGTTTAAAAATACTAATGTTCAACTCTGTAGTCTTGTAATTTTGAACTCAATCCAGAAAACAAGGAAAATCTTGGATTAATTATTGGGAGAAATTTGCCTTCATGGAGGACTTTTTGATGAAACTAACCCACATTTGCATTAGATGAGGAGGAAACCCACTAAAACCTCCCTCGGCTAGTCAAACGGCAAGGGGACTCTTAACTCAAGATTCGTCTACCATTGAGGATATTTCACATCAGCACTGTGGTCGGTGGGAGCCGGGAGTGGAATTCGTATCTATCAGCCAGCCATTAGTAGGTTTTGAACCGGTTCACCTAATTGGAAGGCGAATGTTCTATCCCCTGAACCACCATGGCTCCAATTAACTGTTTTGTAAAAATGCTCTTATAGAGCCAATTTATTTGAGAGAAAATATGAAGTTAAAAAATTTAAGCAAAATTCCTAGGAATAGTAGTTTGCAAATATTAAGCAATCCCATATTCAGCTACGTGTGGTTAGAATTTAAAACAACTGAGCAACGAATTTCAATATTTGCTTTAAAAGTTTCGTATCGGGTGGCTGGGTGGCGCAGTTGGTTTGTCGTCGGCCTTCTGAGCCCAAGTTTGCGGGTTCGATCCCCGGCCCAGACACCGGATTTTCGGGATGCAGAAAATCCTCAGCGGCCATGTCGTATGATTATGCGGCATGTAAAAGATCCCTGGAGTGCCTTATTGGCTCTTGGCATTTCCGGCAAAATTAAAATCCTAGTGCACTTTAGCATCCAAATAGAGTCTCGGTGCTGCCAACTAGTGTGGCAGAAACTAGACGTCCAAATTAGCATGACCAACGGTATCTCACCCATTGTGGTGGTCTTGAAAGAGTGGATACCACCTCTGGAGAACGCACTAGGTCTGCTTATCGGCAAGACCGATTGTGCAGCTCATTGGAAATAAAAAAGTTTCGTATCGGATAATTTCATGTCGTGTGATTAAAAGAAATTAGCGGTTTAACTTGTTTTTTCAATTAAATGAACTTTCAAAATAAACTTAGAGATTTCTTTACTAAACCAATCTTCAATCTTAACACTCTAATAACTTTTTTGATTAAAATAAAATATGCCTTAATTTTTTTAAACTTTATTATATTTGTGCTGTTAAGCCATGAATTTCTTCACGTCAGACGGGAAATATGAGAAAATACTTGAATTTACTAATGGTCTACACTATAGCTAACAAAAGTTTTAGTAATAATTTAGTAAATTTAGTTAAAAAAGTCCAGAAGTTTAAAATTTTATATACAATTTCTAATTGAAAATATTATTTTTAATCACATTTATCATAACGTTTTCTTTTCAAATCATGGTTTCTTTGATGAACATTACATATTTTACCATCTAGAATTTAAAATTGGCCGAGTTAAGACGTCATAAAGTACAGAACATAATTATTAACATCAGATCATTCTCTGATTAAATGAGCAAACCGTAGGAGGTTTTCAGTATTTTCATCTCGTATACTCCTCATAAAATAAGGATAACATAATAACAAGATATTCGTATAAATTATCTCGATTATATCTAAATTATTTCTTTTAATTTGATTTTATAACCATCGTTGAACAGCTGACCCAATTTTTTGGCTTTACAACTACTAATGTGCAACTCCGTAGCCTTGCAGCTTTGAATCCAATCCAGAAGACAAGGGAACTCCTGGATCAAGCATTGGAGGAAATATGACTTTCGTGAAGGACATTGTGATGAACCCATGTTTGCGTTACATGGAGTGAAACACCACGAAAACCTCCTAATGGTTAGCTTGCCGTCGAGATAACTCTAACCTATGATCCATCTACCACTGAGGAAATTTCAGTCAGCATTGTGATCAGTGCAAGTCGAGTGCGGAATTCGTATCGACCATCCGTCTCTGGGATTCGAACCAGGCTAACCTCTGTGGAAGGTAAAAACTCTATCCTCTAACCCACCATGGATAAATCTAAACCATTGTAGTTTTTCAATCAACTATTCTCGAAAAAAATAAGAACTAGGCACACAAAACATGAGTTAGCTCTAATTTATATTGATTCTTCAACGTATTTCAAATTAATTGCTAATATTTCCAGAATTTTAATAAAGATTTTTGTAAAGAAATACGTTTCTAATCTGAAATAATCACCTCAAGTCATAAAGCGCTCAAAATTCAGATGCTCTAAGCTATAAATAAGATTGTTGAGGTCGAATTTTGTGAAATATGGCAGGCACTCCAATCAATTCAGCAATGAAAAGCTATTCAATTAAATCTTGAACCGTCAAACGATTAAAGTGCTTCAGGTGATGATATTTAAAACAAAGTATTTGAAATGTCGAAGTTCAAACTTGCAATTTAATATCTATGCATTAAGAAGTCTCTTATATCTTGAAAGAATATTTTAAAACTTAAAAATGGTTTAATTTTCTTGCATGTTGTAAATCGCACAATCTTGTTAATGAAGAAAAAACATAACGAAATTCGATAATCGATGCACAATTATAAAAAATTGCAATATTATATAATTAAACTAATTTAGAGATTATAATAACCATACCTTTAGTAACACGCTGGTAAATAGCAAAACACAATCAACACCCAATACTCCTAGAAGAAAGAAGGCCTCAGCACTTATCAATTTAGTAGTCAGATGTAACGAACATAAACTGCGCAGTGGATGAAAAATACGAAAGATGTCTCTACGTTCGGGCTACCAAGCTGCACATTGGTGGTAAATATGAAAGATGTCGTT